TAACTGTAATCAGCTCAGTAGGCACAGGAGGTTGAGCCCAGACACCTTCACCACCACAAAGAAAACTCGTACACCTCTACAGGAAGTCCGAACAAATTAAGTTTAGCCTGAGAGGTAACAATTTCTCTTTGCCACTTGTAGCGAAACAAGATAAATCAATAAAAGCTGGTTAACAGAAGCGTAACTGAATAATAAATAACAAAGTCATGCATCTTTGCTGTTGTTTTTTTAATTTCTTATGGAGATGTCAGCTCATTTTCTAATTTATAAACTCATTACTGCACACAAATCTCTCTGAGGGGCTTTGTCGCAGCCAGCGTTGATAATGTCCTTGTACTTTTGTTGTGTATCAATTTTCATTAAGAATTTGTCATCACACTGTGACAGAGATACGCATTTGATTCAAGCCAACAATGGGTGGTCCATGACTCACTCTGGGTCGTGACTTGAATCTGATAGATAACTCTGACGCTGTCAGTCTCTCTCTTTCTCATCCCAAATACCACTTAGATTCAATTCACTTTTCGACTTCATGTTGTTTCCCTAAGAACAGAGAATAAAATGTATATATTATAAATGTAATTTGCAAATTAACTTAAAGAGTTTTCTTTCTTAACTTACCTCACCAGACAAGTAAAACAAGTAGATGTGTTGAGACTTTTTTCACACTTATATTTTCAAAATGCACAATATTATTATCAATAAACATCATATTTATCATTATACAAATATATTCATCTCTGTGATACGTGGAGACTGCCATCTTTGCCATGTTTTTGTTTAAGGATTGAAATAGTGTGAAAACAGAGCCTGTAGGTGGCAGTAATGTTACTGAAAGGATGTCAGCTGCCTTTAAAACCAATGAAAGAAACAGTGCATGTTTATCTGGTGGGCAGTTACTATTGTCTTAATCTGAATGTCTATCAGTTAGTTCAAATCTTTGAACTCTGTACCTTTAAATGCTGGGAATCCCTGATGTAATACGATTAATGTGTGGTGCAAAAAAGTTAAGTTTTCTTCTAACATTTAAATGTTCTAGAGACAAACAACCATACATGCAGACATTCATACCTTCTGTTCGCTCAGTAATCCCTATCCTTATCCTAATCCTGTATGTTTTCTGGACTGTAGGAGGAGGTTTTAGGTCTTGAGGGACTTGTTGCTGTAAGGCTAAAGCTCAAACCATCCTTCCACCGTGTGACCTGAACATACATCTAGTAAGAAAAAGAAAATGAAATGTTCCTACAAGTAATGTACGTATAGCTGGACCAAGAAAACACACACATACACACACACTCGTACGTTCCCATCAATCATGACCACCCAGACAGTAAATGAGTTCAGGGTTCACAATTACGTTGCTACTTGTTTGTCCCCAATCGGACACTTCCTGTACTTCCTTCCTGTATGAGTAAGTCGTCCCTGCTTCTCGTCTGCCTCCTCCCCTCGTCTCTTTCCATCTCTGTTTTTTTTTTTTCCCTCCGGGATCGTCATCTTCACTGAGAACATTGCTGTTCGCCTTCTGTCGTCAGAGTGAGATAAGAAAAAAAAAAAAAAGATAAGATAAGAGACAATGAGGGGGAAAATGTTCTGGGACTGAATGTCTTGGAGACAATTGTGTTTTTCATCACAAACAGAACGGCATCAACGTCAGTCCACAGACGCTGATTGGAGTCCTTTGACAACCACACAAACCATTATTGTTTTTGTTTTTTTTTTTGCAGTTGGCTTCTTGTTTTTGTCCTTTACAGCTGAGAAATTCTTGTCAGGAGCGGAACTTAGCCACTGTGAACACAGGCCTTCACTGAACTGTTCACAAAGAGAACTAAGTCCTGCCCCTGCACAAAACACAAACACGACATCTCGGTACGCTCTCTCTGCTGACTCTCATGGAAACATTTCCTTTTTTCGTTTGAGCAGAAACAGACACAAATGTATTTATTATAGCAGCAGCACAGACACCTGGGGCAGTGAATTGTTGGAAGCAGTAATGGAGTGATGACAAAGAAGACAGTGGTGATAAGCCTGGTGTTTGCTGATAGGAAGCAAGCTAAAGTGTGGTCAGACACACACACATAGGATGAGAACATTTCCAGTCAAGCAGCAATCAAACAAGAGATCTTCACTTTTGCTGTAAGGCATCAGCACTAACCACTCAGCAAAGACAATTGACAAGTTAAACCTTTTTATTGCTGTTTGTTTTTGTGTCGTTGATCACACAGGATCTAAATTTGATTTAACTGTGATGCAATATAGGCAGCCAGGGCTTATTACACACAAGGATTATATAAAAATCTGCACAGGATTATAGGTATGGTAATAACTTTACTATTCTTATATAATGACAGACATTTAGGACCATTTAATATAATTATATTATGTTCATTTGTCATAACAGGGACACGATTTTCCTTCTTTCTAAATGCAACACCAATCAAAGCAAATCCTGCCAGGAGCGTGGTAACATGCCGACATTAGAGAGACGGCTTTAAAAAAAAATCTGCAAAAGTGATTTTTTGTGGCTTCAAGCGGTTTTGCCTTGGCGACATTGATTAAAGAAGTGAAAAAAGTACAGCCTTCTCCATTGTGGCTTCTGTGATGCAGCCGTCAGGAGGTGAAACTTGTGTAGATTCCAGTTAGAGCTGGTTGGAAATCCCTGGCAATGTGATTTACATTATAACACAACCAAATCACTCTGCCAGGAATCCCTCCAACTAAACCAGCCACTCAGTGTCCTGTTACAGTGATGGATGGAGACACAGTTGAGGAATAAGTGAGCTGCGAGCAGAACTACCGACTGCTCGTTGGCGTTGTGGTGCGCAAAGGTCACAGTTGATGACAGGGGGAGAGAGCAAAGACTGCAGGTGTTTATCTGAGCACACATCATCCAGGCGGGGAACATTTACTCCCTCGTCACTATGTAATCATGGCAAACGCACGCATTTAAATACTAACACATGCACCGCTGCACACTGCATCAGTCTGCTCCCGTCGTCGCACCTGGACAAACACAATCTATATGCTGTCAAGGGTTGTAAGTGGCAGGCAGGTGCGCACATTACTGTTTGTGTGACATGTGGTCATAAGGCACTCTCTGTGATTGGTCGGTTGAATTCAATTCAGCTCACAAATAAACAAACTTTACAAAAGAAGACAATTGTGAAAAAAACATGAATTGTAAATTAGAACGGAGACATATTCAAACATAGAGATACAACTTTGTTTTCATGCAGCTGTGATGGTTAAAACACTGGTGAGCAGCAAAGTTTCAATTTTCTGAATCGAGATGCTTTATTATTGAGAATCTCTCAAACAGAGCAAATTTTTCGACCTGTGAAATTCCCCACTCAGGGATAAATAAAGGATTTTTCTTTCTTCGGTATCAAAGCTGTTGGTCATTGTTATTTCTGCCTGTCACAAGGCACTGAATAAAACAGAAGGAAAGGGACTTTGACAAACTGAAAGGGGATCATGAGACTCAGCAGAGACAACGTAATTTAGGCAAATATAATATCTGTTAGTCATGCTTTCCAAAAACCGATGGCTTGGTACAGTGTGTAAGTGCTAGAGCATGACCGAGGTCATCCAGCTGCTGGGCTCAATCATGCAGGGGATGACATGTATACTGTAGGCCAGCATGCCAAACAAAATGAAATTATACAACGCATGTGTACACACTGGCCTCCGGTGTAGCAGTGGAACTTGAACACCACACCACATCATTTCCTACAGAGAACACAGTTAGTGTTGATTTATCAATGGAAAACTCAGGGTTTGAAGCAGTGATGTTGCTGAAGGTCAGTCACCTCCAGTCAGACTGACCTTGAGTAAAAAACTGTAGTTCGTTTTATTTTAAAGAAGTAATTTTCACTTAAAGGTAAAATAATTAAAAATACTACCCACCAGAGTTCACAGAATCTTAACTGCTTTTTAAAATTAGCTACCATTTGGTTTTAATCCAAAAAGTCTGTAACCTGTCAAACACAGTATTTTCTTATAACTGCCCCTACGGTGGTAAAGTGGCAAAAACAACCCCCTAATGTAATCCTCATTGCATTAGTCATAACCACTGTCAGGCGTCCTATCAATGTCTGATTTGTTTAGGTTCCACCGAAGCACCGACTCCGTTGCCTGTCCTTCACTGCTGGCAATAATAGCTCAGAGCTGCTCTGTCTCTGGACACTCAGTCAAACTAACTCAATAGTCTCTGCTATTGTCCAATTATCCGAGTCCTCCTTGCCTGTCTCCGTCCTCCATCTGTCTCGTAATGTCTTCATTTGCTGCCTGCATCTGCGTTATTTTTGGACAGCTCTGTGCGCTAACACAGTACTGTATCACATTACTGATAGCAGGAGTGCTGATTCACTACTCTGAGACTGCTGGGCTGCATTCACATTCATATTTATATTCACCTTTTCCTTTTTTTAAACAAGCAGAATGACATGTTTTCGTCTATTGAGACTAAAAGTAGCCAGGGAACAGATCACTGTGTTACTGTTATATTGTAGTATATATATATACATATATTATTATATTATATTACCTTGTTCAGCCTCAGTGGGACAAACACGTTACAAAAACACCAAAGCGTACATCAGTATTTACACCAGTTTAAGATTCACTCCTTGCCTCAGGCTGCCTCTGGGCCAGGGCTAAATAAGCAGCAAAGGCTCCAGAACCAGGTCAAGATACCACGTTCTACTCCATAACAGTAGTTAGTATATATACATGACTAATGACCTACAATGATACTTTTTCTCCAAGGCTCACCCAATGAATGCTGCTCATCACAAACAGACAAACACTGTGTTTAGACAGATTTGTATTTAAAGGAGAGGTTTTTTCTGTAATGTTTTGAACCTGAAGAGAAGCTGCTCTGGATGAAACTCACACTCACTGGCCCAGAGGAAAAACAAGATAAACCCCTTTCCAGTATTATTATGTTCACACTTCAAATCAAACAAAATGTTCTATATTCAGGGATTTGGATTTGAACGTTTGCAGCGTTGATGCAACAGCTTTAATGAGGTGTAATTATTAACAACAGTTTTTAGGCAAAACACTACAATCAGACGGCGAGCTGGAGCAGAAGTCCCATTCTGTACAGCATATATTATTACAATATAAACCATGACTTACTATTATTGCAATATTAGATGTTTTCTATTGACCTCGGCGCAATTTTAAAATTACAACAAATCGTTTTTAATCTTGCAGTTTATGGTACAAAAAGAAGCAAATATCTACTTTAACAAACCCTGTCACGTACTTTAGAATGACGTCAATACTTCTTTTACTGGTTAATCCTTTTCAAGACTAGGGTTGATGGTTCTATCCTTTTAATCTTCAATTCACCAGGCAATCATAGTCCAAACCTAACACTGCAAACCGCACACAGAATGGCAATCGATCACTGGGAATCAAACTGATGACCTTCGTGCTGTACGGCAAGAGCACTAACCACATACACAACAGTCTGCGCACTGTAGCTCCTTGTCTTTCATGTCATCAATATTATATAAGGTCACCTACACAGTACAGTCACCTCATGGAAGGAAAGCATTAACATAAAACACAACACACAGATTGGTCTCCTGTAGTGGGAGCCGTGACTGAAGCCAAAGCCAATGTCTCTGCCAATATTTTCACTGCAGCCAGAGTAGCAGGCTTCTCTTGTGATTAGCCTGTGAATTTAACAGCCTCAGCTCAGGCTAGACACTTGGCCAGGCGCTGGGCTGTGTCTGGGGCTCCTGTGGTCTGTTCATCCTGGTCTGACCTGTGCCATTCAGCCACCTGCACTATAAAAACTTTAACTACTTGGAGCAGTTTTGTCACTCTCTGCCTGTATTGTTCCAAAGTTGAGGTTGGCAGTTTGAAACTTTGTCAACACTCTCAGGCCGATTCCTAGCAACGTGCTGTACACGTCAGTCTCCCGGGCACTGAATGCGTTTGATTATTGTGCATCTACATATGAGAGGGGGAGACCGAGTCTCCTGGTTTTCCTTTACAGTTGGCTTGGTGTCAACTGTGGACGAGAAGGCGGAGGCCGACACAGGAAGAGAGGCCCAATGACGTACGTTACGAGACAGACAGTGAGAACGTAAACAACACCATGAGCTCCTTTTTTACTCTGTGGCATACCGGGACCAGTAACGATCACAGACAGAGACACAAAAAGTCACAGCCACTGTGTACGTCCCTGCTGCAAAATGTTTTCATCTTCTTCAGTTTTACACGGCGTTTGGTACAGAACTCTGGTCGAGAAAAAGTTTTTTACTTTGTGGAATTAAATAAGATAAACCTAAAACAATTGGATCTAACGTGACATTTTACTGTAAAAAAGTTGAACTTTCTTTCGTTCTTTTTTTTGCCACGTGGAAATGAACAGGAAAAAACGTCCACCAATTAAATGTGACAAAAGAAAAGAGACAAAGAGGTATTTTTTTAAACTATAAAAAATATAATTGTAGCAACAGCTTCATGTCATGTTCTCACCTTTTTTTTTTTTTTTCTTCATTTTTT